AAAATCAAATCAGATTAAAATGTACATTTGATTAGAAATGAAATCGAAGACTCTTTGTTCGCTTACAACAGGGACTGAAATCAGGAATTATTTATATTTTACTGTTGTACGTTGATTAGTAGTGTATAAATGTTTTCTTTATTTTATAAATATTAGTCGCTATTACGTGTGTTGCACGAATTTTGTATTTATCGTATTTTTACTAGTGTATGAATTTTAATTTTTTTGAAAAGTTTTGAAGTAATATCTAATTTTTTTTTTCATGATATAAGAAAATATTTGCAAATTATTTTTACAATTGTATAACAGTATGTTATTTAGAAAAAAATATGCTCGTATATTTAATGCTTGAATAAGAAATATACGAATTATTTTGCTTGTATTATTTGATAGTGTTGATATGATTGAATTGAACATAAAGTTTATATTTCTAAATTTTGTGTAATTCAATATTGTAAATTTGGAAAAAAACTATTCGCACAGCGGGCAGAGAGTTGAACCAAGTGCAGAGTAAAAATAAAAAATAAAAAAATGTGCAAAGAGAAAAAAACCTCTCTTCATAGGGTGGAGAAAGTTGAACCATGTGTGAAATAAAAAAAAATCATCTTCGCATAATGCGGAGAGATGACAAACCAACTCTCCGCGCAGTACGGAGAGCAAAAAAAGCTCTCCGCACTGTGTGGAGAAAGTTAATCTCTTTGTCCAGTGCGGAGAGTTGGTCCGCACCATGGCAAAACTCTCCGCACAGCGCGTAGAGAGTTGAATTATATGCGAAGTAAAAAAAAATGTGCTGAGAGAAAAAAACCTCTCTGCACAATGCGGAGAGAGTTGAATCATATGTAGAGAGTTGACAAACTCTTCGCACAGTGCGGAGTAAAAAAAAAACTCTTCACACAGTGCGAAGAGATAGTTTGTCATCTCTCCGCACTTTGCGGTGTCTTTTTTTTTTTTTTGCTCATGTGCGATTTTTTTTGTCTCATGGAATTTATATATACTAAAATTATTATTATTTTTCTAATGTTATTGTCATGATGTGTGTGTGAAAGAATATTTGTCAATTACTATAAACAAAATTCTTCACAAAATGCAAAAAATAAAAATGCATAATAAATTTTCTTATTACGCTAATAAAATTACAATAATTTTTTTTTTTACAAATAACATAAAAAAATTATTTTTATTTTCAACAAAAAAACACATTTAAAAATTAGTAATTTCATAATCACTTTTTTTTTTAATTCTCGAAAATACAATTATAAAAAAGGAAACAATATTGAATTACAACATTTAATACTTAAGAAATTCAATATTAAATAATTTTTATACATTTATAACAAATTATATATCAATATATACAGCTTACCGTATTTTCAGGCAGTTTACCGTATATACAGCCTACTGTATTTGTAACTTATCGTATTGACAAATAACTTACCGTATTTGTACTTTACTGTATATGCTGCCTACCGTATTTGCAACTTACTGTATTTTCACCTTACCGTATTTGCAACTTACCGTATATGCTGCCTACCGTATTTGCAATTTACCGTATATGTTATCTACTGTATTTGCAGCTTATTGTATTTTATATATCGGTTTTTGCATTTACAAATATCGATAATGCATAACACCGTACATTCACTTACCAAACCGAATTTAAAAAAAAATTCAGATTTTTTTTTAACATAAGTATAAAATAAATATTAAATATATATGAAGCACAAAATAAAAATGCATATGAATATGGTGCTCAATTTTCAATTTTCCAATATTGAATTACACAAAATTTAGAAATATAATCTTCACATTCAACTTAATCATATCAACACTATCAAAGAGTACAAGCAAAATAATTTGTATAATCTCGTACATTTCTTATTCAAGTATGAAATATACAAGTATATTTTTTCTAAATGACACAATACCGTTATACAATTGTAAAAATAATTTACAATTAGTTTCTTATATCATGGAAATATTTCTAGATATTGCTTCAAAAACTTTTCAAAAAATTAAAATTCATACACTAATAAAAATACGATAAATCCAAAATTCGTGCAATGCATGTGACAGTCACCGTGCGAAGAGGTTTTTTTTTTTTTAAACTTCTGTGCGAATTTTATTTATTTATTTATTTATTTACTCTTCACTGTATGGAGAGTCCGCACTTTGTGAGGACAGTGTCCGCACAGAATACCATATCTCCGCACTGTGCGGAGAGATTTTTTTTTTTTTTTACTTCGCACTGTGTTTGCCATCTCTCTGCACTATGTGGAGAGTTTTTTCTTCCGCACATGGTTTGCCATCTCTTCGCACTGTGTGAAGAGTTTATTATTGTTATTTTTTTAAAGCTCATGTGCGAAGAGTTTTTTTCTCTCATGGCAGTTTATATTTACTAATTTTTTTTTAATACTAGTGGCATGATATGTGAAAGAACATTTGTTGGACATAAATATTTTTTTTAATGTTAGTGGCATGATGTGTGGAAGAATATTTGTTTGACATAAACAAAATAAAAAATGACATAATGCATAGTAAAATTGGATTAAGTTACTGTTAGGGCTGGACATGGTCCGGTTCGGTTCGGTTCTAAAGAGAATCGAATCGACCCGAAATTTTCGGGTATTTAGTAAGTGGAACCGTCGGATCCAAATTTAATTACGGAACCGTTCGGGTTCGGTTCTATTTAGTTCGGTTCGATTCGGTCCAGTTCGGTTCCATTCGCTTCCGTATTATAATTAAAATTTTTAATATATACAAAGTTACGTTAATTTAATTAATGATATGTTCAATATTAGCTCTTAGAAAATAACGTAGTTCAATTTTATGTGTTTCACATCTCTCTTTGCTGAATTCTTCATAAATTTGATTATTAAAATCACAGAAAGAGAAAGATAGCGAGCTCAAAATAATTAAGAGAGATGTTGTAGAGTTTTAATTCGATTTTCTCCGGTAGAAACGACACTACAGTAGAATAACATATTTGAATAAAATTGAGGTCAATTTGATTAAGTTGATTTTGAATTGAAAATTAGAAATAGGAAAATCATATTTTGTGGTTTGAACTAAATTAACTAGTTAACAAATTTATTTAGAAAAATAAAATAATTTTACTTATTTAAAATAAATTAATTAAAAAAATTACGGAGATTCGGTTCTTATTCGATTTTTCGGGTCTTGGTCTAAAATCGAGAACCGAACCATACCCGTCGGTTCTTGATTCAAATACCCGTTCAGGTATTTAATTTGAGAAGAACCGTCGGGTTCGGTTCGGGTTTGGTTCGGTCGGTTCGAGAGTTTTGTCCAGGCGTAATTATTATTGTATCAATAGTAGACCCTCCTTCTCCTTTTTATTAGAGGTTAGAAATATGAATTAGGTAAAATGGTCTCTAAATGTTTACTTTTTTTTATTGAATATGAATTAGGTATCTTCATTGACATAAAACATGTAAAAAATGAATTGACAGAATTGAAGTTAATTTATTAAGATTTCACAAAGTGAATAATACTATGTACTTTACCAAGAGAAGGAAAAGAAGTTAACAATTACAATTGCCAAGTCAGTGCTAAAACTAGATAGCATGTTAATCCCAAATTGTTTTCTTGACATAAATAAATTGAATCATAAGCCGAGATCATAAAGAGCATACCATCTCTACCTTGAAGTCATCGATTATGGGATTGAATGAACTATCTGAGTTGCAAATGGGTAGGAGTGAGATATGCATACAGTTGACGTTTGTGTGAAAGAGTTTTAATTAGCTAGATTTGCTGTTCGAGAAGAGTCCATCCTTTTTCGAGAAGACCGAATTGAGTTTGCTAACTTTTAATTTTTAAGCAAAAGCATACAAAGCAGATACTATTTTAACGTTTCAACATTTTTAACAGCATATTTTATCAATTTTTTATTCAAATTTAAAAAGAAATTTGAAAAACACATGCATTGGCAGAGTCAGAAGAAGAAATGTTTTTCCACACAATACAGGAGCGTAACATGCAGTTGCACGCCTGCACCCATGCCACTTCGGCCGCGATCTGCGCGATAAGCTCATCACCAAATTCATGAAGGATGTGGAAGGCACTTGGAAGTAATCCCAATCAATGATTTTTCACATTTAATACTAAATTCATACAATAAATTGTAATTGGGTTTGATTTTATTTTTACAGCGGTCGGCCATCACTGGCATTGAAAGCGTGGGTAAAGGGTTAATTCGCCACAGCACTGGCTATGTTACGTTTCTGGTGAAGTATCAATGCGTTGTATTTCGACCCTTCAAGTGAGAGATTGTTGAAGCTGTTGTTTCCATGGTTAACAAGGGTCGCTATCTTTTTAATTTTATTTGTTTTCATTTGCTGTTTTTGTGTTGTTTAAAATATTAAGATGTTGATTCGAAATTTTTTGCAGATGGGTTTTTTCGCTGAAGCAGGACCCTTCGAATCACGTCAGTATCTTGATTTACAATCATTCTTGCATATTATATTTCGAAAATTGTTCTCGCCTCTATCCATTTCACAAGTTTCTGTCCTTTATGCATATTTAAATTGATTATTCGGAATTTATTCCACCGAGTCGACCAATTAAAGTTCGGGATCTGACTAGAACAACAAAGCTATCAGTTGTCTATGCATTACCCATCAGCATGAATTTTAATGTACATATAAAATGTTTCTTATAGACTTCAATTCTTCGATAGGACTGTGTTACTCAATTGACCGTTGGAGCATGCTGGTGATTGAATAACGTCTAGATATTGGCAAGTTTATAAATCAATGAATTTATGACTCAGGAGAATTTTTTGTTCTGTAGAAATTGATTTGCTTAGGGCCTTTTATTATTTTGTAATTTTATTCAAAAGGCATTTCTGAGTTAGTCTTAAGATTTGCTTGTTTTAGTGTTAGATACAAATTAAGTGCATTATGAATTCCCTGATCCCCGTCTTAATGTTCGAGCAGTAGTCTTTAGTTTTAATGTCTGAGATCTTAATCCTAATCTTTGTATTGATGATCAATTTCTTAGTATCGAAAACAATTAATCCCACATGCTATTTCTTGGAGATTTTTCACATTAGTACACTATACTTTGACCCAATTCATTTGACGACATAGTGCATAATACACAACTATGTGTGAGGACACTGCATAGCATGGAATATAAAAGATCTTTGATGAGTAAATTTCAAGTGATGGACTGATCCAATAGGTTCTGCTTACGCTTTAATTTTCTGTTCAATTTCTTTCATGTGCAAAAAACGTATGAACCTTAGAATAATTTAAGAAGATGGCATTTTAGTTCTTCATTGAATTACCGGAAGCATTAGAAACCATGCTTGCATTTTATTTGGTAGTAGGAGCAAAATTGATCGTCTTACTATGACCTTCTGCACTATTTATGTGCAGCTTTTGATTTGATCTGGGCATGGAGAGTTAAGTTTGAGTAGGTGATGAGTTATATATATGCTTCGCTTTTTGTTTATGTTTCGGGTCCTTGTGATAGAAAATAATGTGCCAGAACAATTCTTCTACTCATTCAAGAACCTTCAGAGCAAAGACTTCACCCGTCTTCTAAATGATCCAACATTCTAACTTTTTTGTATTTAGTTGATACCAAATGATATGGAGCTTCAATCAGGAGACATGCCTAATTATTCAACTTCAGATGGATCTGTACGTATCATTAGCAACATAACACCCCACCCCTGCTGCATGTCACGTCTGCTTGTCAAATTTAATTTCGAGATCCATTCTGGACCTCCCAAGGTTAAAATTCAAAAAGATTGTGAAGTTCGGCTAAAGATTATTGGAACTCGCATTGATGCTACAGAAATTGTATGCAATCCAGTTCCTTCACAGTAATGCTTTTCTTTTCCCATTCTCCGGTTAGTTTTGAACAAGAGTAGAGATCGACCTATGGTTTCTTTCCTCGAAAAATGTATTAAGTAACCAAAGGCCAAAATTGATGCGTGACTTGAGACATTTTTAGTTGGAGAAACGCAAAACTAAATTTGTTTGAAGAAGGCTTTTCTCCTTTTCGAGGCTGTTGCATTGCCTAGTTTTTTCGAAGTGATTATCTAGGTTATAATGCTCACTAGAGAATCCTAATTATAATTGTAAAAATATAAATGTTATTTCATTATCCTTCTTTCATCAGACCTAGCATGAAATAATTGTGAAGACTAAAAGTACCTTGATATTTATTGTCTACAATACCTTCTTAAGAATTTACAGTAGTTATCTAGCACCAGTCTAAGTTTAGGTGGCCTCACCAGTATAACATTGCATATGAGTGAACCTATCATCTGCCTCATACCAAATTCTCATTAATGTTCGTATCTCATTTTGCAGTTCTGTATTGGAACCATAAAGGATGACTTTTTGGGTGTGATAAGTGATCCTGGTGCAACTTCCTAATGGCACACATTGTTTGTGTTATCTACTACGCTCTTATCTGATTATCATCTCGAAGCAGCTGTCAGTTAAAATTGTGGAGTATTTGAAGTTCTGTTAATATCTAATTTCCATTTTCAATCATTGAGAAAGTTTGAGATGTAGCCTATCTGTTGACCTCGCAAATTCGGCCCTCTACGTGGCCAACCGATAGCTACTTCACGTATTTCTTCCTGCGCACAATCAACGCACGGTCAAATGCACACGGTCGGGACCAGCGGGGGGTGGCGGCAACCGCATACACTCCAACGGTCAAGTTAGCCCCAGGTGATCGGAACAGTACCAAGGTTGTGCAAAGGAGTGGGGAGGAGAATATATATTTACTTGTTATGAAGAGCTAAGTTGTAAGAATTTCATTACCTTTTCCTCTTGTCAAACCTTGGGCATTTATAGTTGAGGAGAATCGTTAGATGTGGGACACGTGTACGCATTTGACAGTGTGAGGCGTCTACTCATAGGCGTCAATCAGCCGCGTCTATAGAGTGGACGGGTAATAACTTCTCCCGAGTTAAGTTGACTCTCACATGAACTAGGCTCGTGAAGACGTCAAATCAATCAAACTTTGGGGGTAGAAAGGATCTTGACACAGATCTCTTTCTGAAATTGGTGGATGATCCTCTGACAGAGAACTTCGGAATGTACTACACCTCGGCTTCAGGGGCGATGACGCTTCGGTCGGTTCAGTAGATTGTTTGTGCATCGTAGTGCGTTAACAGATTGACAACATTAGTTGTGGCATCACTTCGGAACCACTTCGGATGGGTGTTGAACACCTCGTATATCGCGGTGGTAGACTTTCCGAAGTGGTTCAGATAGGGGTGTAACAGTGGTCCCCCCAAGTTCATTCATGAATATTTATATCATGGGTGGACTTGTTTTCCCGATCGGGTATGTCTGCCTCGGGATAGGGACCGTGATTTGTGAGAATTTGTAGGTCAGTTTTCTGTGTTCACTGAAACGTTGACCTTAGGCAAACGGGCTAAAGCTTCATTACTGCATAAGGAAAGAACTTATCCAAGTCGATGTGCTGCCAATTGGATGATGCGTTGGGAGACGACCGAAGTTTTGTAAAGCTTAGGAGGAAACGCAGCTACCCAGGCGATGACCCACAGGGAGCTCCACGTCAGGTGTGTCTTAGCTTCATAAAGCTGAGTGAGGAGCTCGTCTGCCACCGATACTTTGACCCACAGGGGACGACGCGTTGGGAGATGACTAAAGCTTTGTAAAGCTTAGAAGGGAACGCAGCTACCGAGGCGATGACCCACAGGAGACTCCGCGTCAGGTGCGTCTAAGCTTTGTAAAGCTGAGTGAGGAGCTCATCTGCCACTTGTGCGCTGACTCACAGGGGATGACGCATTGGGAGATGGCTAAATCTTTGTAAAGCTTAGGAGGGAACGCAGGTACCGAGGCGATGACCCATAGGGGACTCCGCGTCAGGTGCGTCTAAACTTTGTAGAGCTGAGTGAGGAGCTCATCTGCCACCGGTGCGCTGCCTCACAGGGGACGACGCATTGTGAGATGGCTAAATCTTTGTAAAGCTTAGAAGGGAACGCAGTTACAGAGGCGATGACCCACAGGGGACTCCGCGTCAAGTGCGTCTAAGCTTTGTAAAGCTAAGTGAGGAACTCATCTGCCACCGGTGCGCTGACCCACAGAGGACGACGCGTTGGGAGATGGCTAAAGCTTTGTAAAGCTTAGGAGGGAACGCAGCTACATAGGCGATGACCCATAGGGGACTCCACGTCAGGTGCGTCTAAGTTTTGTAAAGCTGAGTGAAGAGCTCGATCTGAGGCGGGTATATCTGACGTTAAATGATTTGACAGCTATCACATATTTCCAAGGCGACAGTTGGGTGCGACGCCCATTTTCCTAAAAGGTTGATGCGGCTACTTATTGTAGACGGCTGGTGGTGATCGAGGCGACGTGTTCTATGCGAGCGTGAGGGGCACAGCCAGATCTCAGGTGTAGATCAAATCTGGCGTTTCATTTCAACGACCTAGATTGATTATGCGACGGACGGCCTAGATTGATTAGATTTGAATTGAACGGTGGAGATCAGCTGGGGCGCTCTATAAAAGGCGGACTTGAGCGT